AAAAAAAAAAGATACTTGACGCTTTGAGGTTTTCAGTAAGTTAGGAGGCACACATTATGAGAATCCCAAAATTTTGATTTTTAGTCAGACTGTGGGAGTGTTTTGATCTTCCCATTCGTGAGGGAGGAAAAACGTGCGTCATTCTAGCAGTCGTTATCTTTTTGCGTGCTTATTTCCGAAGCTTCAAACCTGAAAACTGTTATCGCAGTGGAACTTTTATGTAAATGAAAGTAAGAGGATTCATAAATATCCATTTTGGCAGCATCTTCTATCATTTATTCGCCTGATTTCTTTATTAGCTTTTGATAAAATCTACTCCTAGTAAGTGAAACTTTTTCGGTAGCGTTTTTGTAGTAAAGGACAAGAAACAGGATACTTCTAATGGGTATTAGGGAACTGAACTAATTTAAGACAAAAAGGACAGAATTAAACCACTTTTCCAATGAAAGTCGCAAAATAACCGTTAAAATAGGTCATTTGTTTAAACTGAAAGCAAACTTTTAAAAAGTCTTTGGTATAGTTCCCGTCTCCCTTCAAGAAACTGGTATAGCAAAGAGAATTAAAAATTATACTGGTGTGAGAGTGTTTTTTTGTTTCCTTAAGTTTTAGGGACATGGCTGTAATACAGAGTTAAAAGAAGCTTCGCCGTTTCTAACATTTCTTCTGTTTTTACAAATTAAACTTTGCATTTACTTTTATAAAAAAATCAACTTCAAAGATCACCATCATTATGCTCGTATCACAAACAAGCAAGAGTGGTTACCATTTCCGTACTTGTCAGTCATAAGGTTAGCTACTAAAGGTACAAAAACATGACGGGATTGCTTAGTTTTTCCAGTAATAAACTTAAAAAACTTTTTAGTTATAAGCTGCTTCAAAACATTGTAGTTGTTAGTAAAGCACTCAAAAGCAAGAAATTTGAAGAAAAGAATAAACAAATTTATTAATTCTTTTGAGACTGAGCTGTATTATTCTTAATAGCATAGAATACCTTCAATGCATGAGTAACTCTCCTGTCTAAAAAGAAAAAAGAGATCCGTTATTTTTGCAACAATTCTGCAAAAATTTTAAATTTGCCACACTAAGTATCTAGAAGCAGTTCACTGCAAATTAGATTCTGAAATAATTTTAAACTCTATGACAAATTTCTTTTAAGAATGTTTAAGCTTTTTATTCACCTTTACTTAGCTTTGAGCTGACGCTTATATTAAACAATTTAGACGAGCGGCAAAACTTAGCGGCTGAAGATAAAGTGGCTTGGTAGCAGCTGGTTTTCCTCAAAAATATTTAGTTGCTACAACAGTTGAAGCGGTAATCGCTAATAAAAAAAACAGAAAAATTTTTTTTTAATTGTGGTTTAAACCTTCAAATTGTTAATTAGGATTTTCTAAGATAAATTCTTTTGTAATCCGGCTTACCTTAAAAAAGTTTTGTAAAGACTTAGTTTCAATCAATAGATGTTACTTGAATCCATTTCTACTTTATAATTCTTGTTGTAGTATGTTCGCTTAAATTTCAAGCAACTGTACTTACATATTCTGCCTCTGCATATTTTAGTTCATCTGCTGTCATTTGCTTTTCTCAACACTTCATAGCTGCTTTCAATTAAAACTGGTAAAGTTTCATTCCGTTCGTCTAACTGTTTTTTCAACAACCGGCAACTTACGTTTAATTTCGATGACAGACAAGAAAATTTCACAGCAAGAATCGCTTCGGACTAGGTTATGAATTCTACAGCTGAAAATGAAGTCAGCAAAGGAACTTATCGAGACTGCTTGATGTGCTGAAGGTTTTCTACGTTTGCAATAAAATACCTTTCTTAATGTCTTTTACTTCTATTTTGTGTTAAAAATTTTAAGATACTTGTTAGAATGTGTTCTAAGGTTGAAGAATAATGTTTTAATTAGAAAAAAATATATTCTTGCGTTTATATGAATGCCTTGCATCTAATGGATGGTTCAAAATTGTTTTTCAGTGTCATCTCTATTTGCAGCTGTTAGATAATGTTCTGTTAATTCCTCTTACCCTATGTTTTGCTCTACACAGGTCAGTTTCTTTTTTAATTGACGGGGAGTCTGTAAGTCACCAAAACGGACTTAAGTAGGATAAAAAGCAGTCAGAAATAACTGAAATTTTATTTTAGTCATACAGAGTGTTACCTCTGAAATCCGAGGAACAAGACAATAATAACGAATGTTACTACAATACATTCTCAACGACAGTTTTTTTTTAGTTACTTACAGAATCTAAACTTACAAATCAACAATTCTTGGTAACACTGAATCACTAATACAAATTTTCCAGAAAACTATGAATAGAAAATGATGAAGATGATGCAATTGGTATCAAATCAATATTCAAATTTTCGGTGCTATTGAGTAATTTAGCCTGATACCCTGAAGCCTCACTGAAGAAGTTTAATAACAGAAGAAAAGTTCTATAATCTAGTAATTAATTCATCCATTTTAAAGGCATCAACGGTTAGTATTTTAAGTTTAATTATTTTTCTTGTTGAGTTGCATCGCCCATTTGCTGTAAACTGATAAAACGCCAATAAAGTTTGACAACGACAAACTGGTTTTACAAAGCAAAAAGTTGGCAACTGCAGAAGTCACTGAACCAGAAAAGAGTAAAGGTCACATAAACAGATAAAGCATTAATCGGCTTCAAAAAAAGCATAACGAAGCATGTAAAAATGCACAACGGACTTTTGGAACCTATTTGAGCAACTGTATACAATGTATTCAGTTTCATTCAAGAAAAAAGTCTTCTACAGTGTCTCCTATTCATTGAACTTTGAATTCCAAAAAACTTTTTGCATTGATCTCTAGAAAAAAATTCTTACAGTACAATATTATTGTTCCCAAGAAATCAGTTAATAATTTTTAATCACAGGCTGCTTCTACTTCTTAATTTTTTCCTCAGACCATCTTTGTTTTGTGAAAATGTGT